GAGGCTGGAGTGCAAGGCAGAGGTGGACATCGGAGGCCACAATCGCCTGGGCTGGGCACATCTTGAGACACAGGTGGTCATGGGAAAGAACCAGACAAACTTAGTATATGTTGGGGCTAGGCAGACAGACAGAACCAGGACAAGGCAAGACAAACGGTCAGAGTTCAGGGGCTGAGCCAGGGACCACAAGAAAGCTAAGCTCCAGGGCCAAAGCAAAGAAAGCAAGGCACCATGTCCAAGAAAGACCTGTAACCCGAAGCTGATGTTTTGCCTGAGTGGGTAGGCTCCTAGACACTTCCTGTCGGATCAGGAGCATAGAAATGGCTCCTCCTGAGGCAGAAGTAGGGAGGGAGGGAGACAGGTGCTATGTCTGTGGGAGAACCTCAACAGAGCACAAAGTGAAGAGTAGGGCAGCTCCTGAGGAGACAACTCCTACTGATCTCTGTATGCAGGAATATGGCTTGTTTCTGATCCTATCTATCTTCAAAAACGAAGGGCACAAATACAGTACTGTAATACCAACGATGGCCTGGACAGAATCCCGTCATGTCAAAAAGATGACTATTTTACCTTATTGTTTGCTTTTAGCTCTAGATGGCGTTCCCCCAAAATCACAAAATCAGGAGCTCGGCGTTTTCACCATTTCTACTGGTGAGAGCCCATTGATATCGGTGCAGTCTAAATAACAGCAAAATAGCACCTTAGAGAAATGAGCCAAATGCTTTTGTATTGTGTCCAGTCATCTTTGGTCCCCCAAAGAACAAGCAGGAGGGGCCAATGCCAAATTCTCAGAGGGGCTGAGCCTTTCTGGCTGATTGCCACAGTGAGGGGTGGGGGGCACTTCAAACTCCCTGAATTCATTTCTATCCAAAGGAAAGTCTGAAAAGCTCTCCATCTCCCAAAATAATCCTTTCCAATGACTGTCCAAAAAATATGTTCAAGAGTGATGATACCCACTCTCCAGGCAGAGCAGAACCAATCAATCCATTATCTTGAGTCTCATCTTAGAAAATGTGTTGATGTCTAGAGGACCCATGACAATAGCCTCCAAGCCTTCTGAGAACTCCTATGATTCATCTTTGTCTCCCTGAGAGTGACCAGCACATGGCTTTGCACAAGGTGGGCACACGAGTAGGAACAGGTGGATTGAAAGCAATTCTCTCTTGGGCTTTTAAAAATCAAAAGAAAATCTCAAAGTTGGACCAGGTAAAAACCCACCTCTTTCAGAAGACCATCAGATGAACTCTACCTCTGATTCTAACCAGTTACTCAACTTCCCTCCCTTGTCTATCTCTCTGGTGTGGAATTTCTTATTCTGCACCTGTTGGCTGTCTGTTTTTAATATCTGGGGGCATTTGACATTGATATGCACGTTGTTGGATGGCAGGAATTACGCATCCTCAATTACTTGATCTCTCCACAATGCTCAGAATAGTGTCTTGGTCATAGAAGTGACTCAATTCATGATTGCTAAATGGCCAATTTCATTTGTTATTTCTGAGACAGCTCCAGGAGGGGAGGCAAAGAGGACCAATGTAATTAGTAGATGGACTTGAATAATTTCTTTGCTTCGACAAGTGATTGTGGAGCAAAGAGCCTCACTGCCCTGCCTCAGTTAGGAAAGCTGCATGACGGGCTCCATCCGCACACAGCTGTTTGCCCATGTCTTAAAACTGCCACCCAAACATTCCTTCCAGTGGGAAGATTGTGTGCACCAACAGAGCCCCCAAGCTCCTCATCCACAGCCTCCAGAGGCCTTTAATGGAATCAGAAGCTGAGTTGAAAAGACTTTGGTGGGCATCAAGTTCCAACTCTAGGCAGCCCATGAGCACCATGGAAAACATTTCCAATATGTGGTCATCTGTCCTTTGATTTCACACTGCTTCTGTCAAAGAGCCAACAACATCCTGACAGTCCATTCCATTCCAGAGCCCTAATTGTTGGATTATTCTTCCCTGTGCTGGGCTGAAGGCTGTCTGTTGTAACTACCATCCATAGGTTCTAAATTTTGCCCTCTGGAGCCACATAAAATAAATCTTAAAGCCTCTTCCACGTGGTAAACCTTTAAGGGGCTGAAGACAATATTCTTCACAATTCATCCAAATAAGAACCTTATTGTATGATACTGTAATGAGCTGGGAACTGCGCTTTCCTGTCCAACTGGTTTAGGAGCCTCCCTCCAGCAGAGCCCCAAAGGTGATATATGTCCACACTTTATTTACTGGCAGACAGAGAGAGCCCCTTGTTCCTTAGCCTGGTAACAACTGAGGTCATTCATCACCCACTTGCTCCTTTTTGAAATTCACTCTGCAGCAAGCACTTTTTTAAAGTCATGCACGTAATGCATTTTAAAGAGCATCTTCTGCACAGCTCCATTTGCTCAACCTCGGCACTAAGTGCAAGATGGAACAGTATTTCAGTGCAGTGCCCTGCTCCTTCCTCCCAGAGCCTGTGCTGAATGTACACTGAAATGTATTTGTAACTAAACAGGACTGGGGTTGGAAAATGCAGTGTTTTGTTAAATGTTCATTTGCTGATTAAAATGCATCTTGCAAAGAAAGCACATTGCTAATGTACAATCTAGTCCAAAAATATGTATTATGTAATGCACATTTTTTAATAATGCAGGCAATCTCGGTGTATCTATATTAGTGAATCGGCTCTAGGCTGCCATCTCCATTACAGGCATAAAGCACTCCATCTGAAAAATGAAGTACTTTCTCATGTACACTAAAGAATCATAATCCACCTCGTTCCTGACAGCTGGCATTAGTTACCATTGAAAGGGCATTTACCAGCACCCACATATTCCTGATTTTTTCCCCCACAATGTGCCCTGCAATCAGCTTGAATGATGTCTTTATGTTCCATATACTGTCAGTGGAGTTGTACTAGTTAAAAGAAATAAAGCAGGTGGGTCAATGTGGGCAGACCACTTAGAAATATCCCGTTTGTCAGGACTGAGAGGTGGAGATCAGGATTTGAAATACACAGCTCCAAAAGCCCCTGTGGCCAGTATCCCTCAATAATATCCACAAAATGCTTAGAGCCATGCAGGCGCCTGTGATAGTACAACCCTTTCAGTTTCTCTGGCAAGTGTTAGAGCAGAGCACAACTGGAATACAGACATTTGTCCTTTTATGGGGTTTGCCAAATCAATCCCACTTTATTAGACCAATCAGTATTTTAATGCTACAAACTAACTCACAGAACATGAGATGCAAGACAGACATAGCCAAGACACAGAAATAAGAACCTCAACACATCAAAAGCAGTTGCTAGACACATACTGAGGTCTGACCTTTGCATTTGGCAGCTTTAATGCGAGCACGGTGAGGAAGGTGTGAGAAGTTCCACCATGATGAGGGATGACTGTGGGTGCATGACTGACCTTCAGCCACCAGGAAAAAGTACAGGAGGGAATTCCTGGTAGATCACCCAGAGGTAGCCCCTCTTCTTTAAGTCCCCTCATACTGACTCAAGAAGGAGAAAAGAACCAAACCCATGATATATGTCCCAAATGAGGTGACCTTGTTGACACTTCCATGGATTTCAGGAAGACAGCTTTGCTCTGAGTTGTATTGCCTTTGGGCTGCCATTTCCATTATAGGCATAAAGCACTTCATCTGAAAAACGAACTACCTTCTTATGAGCACAAATTAAAAGAATCATAATCCACCTTGTTGCTGACAGCTGGCATTAGTTTCCATTGAAAGGACATTTACCAGCACCTGCATATTCCTGATTGTTCCACAACGTGCCCTGAAAGAGGGGCACCCCATATTCAATAGGGAGGGCAAGACTGAAGACATACATACCCTGAAAGAAGCAGGTTACAGATGGAACTCAAGAGCTTTCCACTGTAGGGATCCCCTCCCGTAGGCTGTGGAGCTCATTTGATTTTCCAGGGCCGAGAAAGAGTGGTGCTAATTCACTCCAGCTCTTTAGCCTTCGCGGAGCTCACAGCATGATCCAGCGGTGTCTGGCCGCCCCCTAGCACTGCTGCTCGTGCTGATCCAGTTGTTTCCTCACGTGAAATTCTAGCTGTATTAAACAATGTTGGTGGATAAGGAGAGATTCTGACTGATTTAACATTTTGATCAACAGAAGACTAATCTGCAATATCCTTTGCTTAACGCAAGATTTTCTCTTTTGTTCACCTTCAGCACCTAGAACAGAGCTCGGCATGTGCTAGGCACTCAATGAATATCTGCTGAAAGAATTACCTTTGTTAAAAACCTAGCTAAGAAACAGCCGTAAAGGGACATCTAGTGAGGATTCAGTGATAACTGAATAGCCTCACATGAGCAGGACTCACAGTGCAGGAAATCCTTACCTTTTCCGATGCTCTCAGCTCAGGTCTGCCTTCCAGCAGGAGTTCTCGGCGAGAGAGGGCTCAAGGAGGTCCGAGATGGGTTTGCAGACGTGCAAACTACTGCCTTGACTGTGGGGGCCCTTCTCAAGGAATATACCTATTTACCCAATTTAGACTGCACTGGGCATCTTTTTTTTTTTTTTTTGGAAACTTCTCTAATTACAGTCACTATAACAGATCTGCTAAAGGTGGTTTCATGATTAATGACTACCTGAGGTTACCACCCTCAAACTATTAAGCCCTTGAAAATGCCCTTAGCTGGATCATTAATACTCATGTATCAGACCCTCATTCCCCTGAATATTTGCAATATTGAGGACTAGTTTTCAGCTGCTCTGGGGCTGTGTCCATTCCATCGGTAACCCTGCAGAAGCTGGGAAGAGGCACGACCCCATGGGCAACCCATGCCCAGCTGCCCAAATACTCTAACCTGTGGCTAGCTCTCTTGCTTGCTCGTTGGAACCCACCAAGAACCCCCGCCCGTCTCTTCGCTCAAATCCTTTCAAACAAGGTCCCCTCCTGCCACCTGCCGGCCCACTAGGGTCTGCGCCACAGACTCGGCGCCACCGCGCAGCTCGCGGGGAGGCGGCCCCCACCTCGCTACTGCACATGCCCGGCAGAAGTCCGGGCGCGCAACTTCGCAGAACCTCACCGCCCCGGCTCTCCTCGCCTCAGTCTCCTCTTTCCTCTCCCAGGCGAGAGGACCAGCGGAGGCACCTCTCCCGAGTCTTAGACTGCAGAGTCTGAGACTTACCGAGAGGAGCCCCGGAGGAGATAGACTTTTTCTCCCCTTTCCCATTCCTTCTTTTTGCTCAGAGGCAAGCTGAGGCGCGGAGCTTTAGAAAGTTCTTAAGTGGTCAGGCAGGCAGGTGCTTCCCTTTTTCTCCTCGCGCCGAGGTGGGGCTGGGACCTCTGGACCCAGCTTCTTACCTCATAAGGTGCATCTTTTCCTGCTCCAGCAGCCAATGCGCATCGGAGCCGCTCTCTGCAGAGCCAGGGGGCAGGTCGGCTTCTCGGTGTGCGCCTAAGAGGATGGATCGGAGGTCCCGGGCTCAGCAGTGGCGCCGAGCTCGCCAAAATTACTACGACTTGTGCCCGCCCATAGGCCGCCGGACAGCCGCCGCGCTCCTCTGGCTCTCCTGCTCCATCGCGCTCCTCCGCGCCCTTGCCGCCTCCAACGCCCGCGCCCAGCAGCAGCGCCTGGCTGCCCAACAGCGCCGGAGCTTCCTTAACGCCCATCACCGCTCCGACGACCAGGTATTCCCCGAGACCCCTGAGTCCGAATCTGACTACGAGCACGACGAGGTAGACCTTGACCTGTCCCTCCCTGAGTGCGCAGAGTACGACGACTTCGAGTACGAGCTCGAGTCCAACAACGACTTCGAGAACGACTTTGACTCCGACTTCGACACCGAGCCTGATTCCGCTGCCGAGCCTGATTCCGCTCCCACCACTGAGCCCGAGACCGAGCCGGAAGACGACCGCGGCCCCGTGGTGCCCAAGCAGTCCACCTCCACCCAGTCTTTCACCCAGCGTCTGTACGCTCTGAGGTTGCGAAGCCCCGACGCCTCCCCAAGTCGTGCGCCGCCCAGCACTCAGGAGCCCCAGAGCCCCAGGGAGGGGGAGGAGCCCGAGCCAGAGCCCAAGGACAAGGATCCGAGGGCCCCCGAAGAGTCTGAGGAGCCCAAGAAGGAGAAGAAGCAGCAGCGCCGCTGCAAGCCGAAGAAGTCCACCCGCCGCGACCCGTCCCCGGAGTCCCCTTCCAAAAAGGGACCCATCCCCATCCGGCGTCACTAATGGGGGACTCCGTCCAGATTCTCCTTGTTTTCATGGATTCAGGTTAGTTGGCCACCTTTAAACTGGGGGGTCTGGGGACGGTGGAAGGAAGGGAGGAAGAAGGAAAGACAGGGTAAAGGAGCAAGGTGGGAAGAGAGCGGGCTCAGCTAGCCAGCCCGGGATCGGGGGGTCAGGGTGAGGTGGAGAGGCCTCCCCAAATCTCCCCAGGACGCCGCTGTCCCGGTGGCCAAAGGCTTGTCGGACGGCGGGGCGCTCCTTGCGCCCCGCTGGAGACAACCCGAGGTCTCTGGGCCGGTGCCTCGGACGCTCGAGCGAATCCGGACCCGAGCGAATCCGGACGGCGGGGCGCTCCTTGCGTCCCGCTGGAGACAACGCGAGGTCTCTGGGCTGGTGCCTCGGACGCTCGAGCGAATCCGGACCGCACTCCAGGTTTCTAGCTGCGCACCAAAACGGCACCGGTAAGTCACTTGTTTTAGGTGTTTCTTTTTTCTCCTAGAAAGACTAGTGTCAAACGAGTTGGCTTTGGCAGCCGCCCGAAATGTGGTTCGGAGGTGCGCGCACCAACTTTCACGATTTAAGAGCAGCTGCGCTGTTAGCGACACTGTTGCAATGTGCGGAAAGTAATCAGAATGGATTGGGCAAGAACTCCGGAGACTCTAGGCTCCGGAGGGAAGTCGCACGGGCGCGCAGCGTTTAAGCGGCTCACAGCCGGGAGCCCAGGTCCCGGCGCTGCCAATTTGGAGCCCTGGGATCTTGGCGCCAGTGCCTCCCGCTGCCCCGCGTCAGTCTTCGCCTCCACCGCCCGTCTCCGGGCGCTCCTGGGGCCAGAGACTGCTGCAGAGAGCGTGCGCACCTGTCCGCGCACCCCAGAGCCGACCTCTTGTAGCGCGCCGGTGGTTTCCCCGGAGTCCCCGGTACTTGGAGGGCACGCAAGGGAGGTATGTGAGTCTCAGGGGGTACCCCTACGGGCTACCAGGGCTGGCGGCGAAGGTTTGGTCACGTCGGGGCATTGCCAACCTTGTGGCGCAGCTGATCAGGCGGCGGGGCTGCATGCAGCTTGGCTGGAGAGGTCCTGGGCTGTTTGTGCGAGGCCCTGAGGCAGGAGGGAGAGGTTAAGAGGCCCTCGAGGTGCTCGCAAGCGTAAAGGTAAAGAGGAACAAGGAATGGGCCGGAGAAGGGGTTCGCGTTTATCATGAGGACACCGACACCGTACAGTGTGTCCTCAAAGAGCGCAGCACACGCCGAGCTGGGGAAAGGTGTTGGTTCGGGCGCCAGTCCTTGGGCAATCGGTCGAGAGGGGGCAGGGGCTGGCGGCGGCTTCAGTAGCCTCCGGGAGGGGAGGCAGCGTGCTCCGGCCATTTTCAGCCCGGGTGGAGCTAACTTTGGAATCTGTAACCTGGAGGGGAAACTGCCCTGGTGACCCAGCACAAAAACGCAGCAATCCAGTGGCCCTCAGCGCCAACCCTGGGGGAAAAAGCTAATAATTGAAATGTATTTACGAAATCTCACTCGACTTGGAAATTGATCTTTTTGTTTTCATTTTTTTTTTTTTTTTTTGGTGCGTGCTCGTCTCGTTTTGCGCCGGCTTGAGTTACTCTGCTGAGAATGATTTGGAGGAAAAGTAAAGCATTTTGATGGCTTGAACTGAAAGACTGTCGGGTTCTTAAACGCCTAAGAAAAGGATAGTGCTAGAAGGAAAATACTTTAATAAACAGTCTTCCTTCCGGGACCTAATCGTAGGAAAGCCATTGCAGCGCCCCAGAACTTAGTTATGCCGACGGTTGGATGCCTTCGTGGTCTTCAGTGGTAAATAGGGGGAAGGCACTTGGTTAGCAAGGGGTTTACCCTCGGCAGCACGTCGGAAGACTGGGGGCCAGGCGTGCCCTGCTCTTAGCTCGCAGTCGTGAAATTGCTAAGTGAAATGGAGCGCCCCTAAAACTGAAATTGCTACTGAATGCAAACAATGATGCTGTGTTCATTTTTGTGATATTAGGCATTGTTTTTCCTTTGGTAATGTCTTAGTAGCCTGAGTTTACCAAGCAAAAGAGGTCTCTAGGGAACAGGCTAGAGAAGCCAGAGGTTTTGTTGAATTTTTTTTTTTTGGCGTGCTTTACAGTGTGGAAGCTATGTTTACAAACTGGGTAGTCTGGGGGGCTGGTTTTCCTAAGTGGTTTTTCATGAAAGAAATTAGCATGTTGCCTTGTTACAGGATGAATAAACAAGTTTTTAAAAGTCTTAGGGTGCCTAGCCCACACCTCACACTGGTCTTGCTGTTTTTTAAATAGAAGGCAGACACAGGGAGGCTGGCTTTCTTAACTGTAAGCAATGCACCAGGCTCATATATTTAGGGGGAAGGGTCCCCAATCCAGGAACACACAAATAGTTTGCTGTCTGAGGACACTGTCTTCCACAAACTGCCTCCGAGTCAAAGTAGAGGATATATGCATTACAGCCCGATTGTGAAAACCTGTTACCCACAGGCACACACCCTCCCCCATTCAGTTCCCCTCCCCCAACTTCCCTCTTTCCGCCCCATTCCAGGGTGGAAAAGCCATGAGGGGTCCGTACAAAGCAACTGAGAGAAACCAAACACGCAGGAAAGCACCCATGACCCATCCAGAGGAGGGGATTTTGCTATATATACTCTTCAAAACTTCTTTCTGCCTGAGACACTAGTTTTCAGCTGCCTTCCTTTTTCACAGACATTTCTAGCAAGTTCTCCAAGCATTCCCAACTCACTAGTCTTCCAAACTAGCCCTTTGTCTAACCCTGCTAAGCTGGGGTTAGCATTTGAATGGGCTCACTTGTCCTTTTACATAGGTGGGGTCCGTTGAGTAAGGATATGCTCGCAAAAAAAGCAAACTTTAGAGTTAATCATGTTAGAGTTATAACATTTCAAATGCACAGACAGGAGGAGGAGAAGGAAGAAAATAAAGCTAGTTAAGCATGATGGTATACCCAATAGTTTAAGATTCTTCTTTTGCTACATTCATCATTGGCTTAATGGAAATTTGCTTTTTTGGGGGAGGGGGGGTCAAAGGTGCTCTTGTAAATGAATTTCTTGAATTGGAAAATTATGTAGCAATGTTCAAATATTGTGTGATGTCAATAACCTGACATACATAGGTTTACATCTAAAGTTTTGCAAACAAAACTTTTTAATCTATGTTTATCAGAATTCAAGAATTAGAAATTTTAAAGTTTAGAATTATTTTAAGATAATGTTTCTGTGATGCACTAGAAGCTTTTGTACCCTGGAATTGCTTACAGCCCTTTACTCTATAGCCTTCATTTTTAGCAGCTGCGATAAAAGTTTAATGAAGAAAGCTGAAACTTCAGTCTTGGTAAGAATGTTTTGGTTTTTTTTTTAAAATAATCTGCATGGATTTTACTTAATTTACCAGTATTATCACTGCTCTTCAAGAAGAGAGGAGCTATTGGAGGAAACTGAGCAGAAACAATGGTGTGGGGAAATCATTTCTCTTAGGAAGGCGACCTTTTAAAAACCAAATCACTAAAATCATATCGGACTTCCAGAGGCCAGTGATGTCATGCCAGCTCAGGTGCTCCCTTCTCTAAAAAACTGCCCAGCAAAGGGATGAGATTCTCAAATGACACCTTTAATCCCTATGTTCCAGAATTCCGGATGGAATTTCTTGTCCTGCTGTGGGGTTTTGACATTAATGACTCTATTTCCTAAATCTTGATGCCCCACACTGGGGCAGCGGGATCTAAGACAAAAGGCACCTAACAGCCCAGGCTACTTCTAGCTCTGGTCCTGCCAAGTAGCCTTAGATCAGACCTAGCACCTCACTGCCTCAGTTTCTTCTAAAGTGAAGTAGCTGAAAGAGATGTTCCTATCCCTTTCAGCTCCATATATATGCAGGTGGGTTAGTTTTAGAAGCCTGGAGTTGCTCAATTTGACTCTATCTGTGATTTTTAACATTAATGGAATCTAGAAAATTTCAAAAGTTGATCAAATAAAAAGCACCAGCTATGAAGAAATCTGGTTTGTGTTGGTCTAATGTTAATTTTGTCAAATCTGCTTTTCAATTGGTGGCAAAAATGGTTTAAAAAGAGGCAGGTTAGAAAACACAGAATTCCACCGTGTCCTGTCCCTAAACTGAGAAAAAATTGGCCATCCTGAAGAACAAGCAGCATTTAGTGTTTTTAATGTGGGGGTGCCCCCCAACCACCTTAGTGTCTAAAACAAGCCTTTCAGAGCAGAAACAGGCAGCAAGGTTACAAGTATTGCACCGGTACGTGGAGTTGAGATGCTAGCCATTTCAGGACACAGCACACTCACGGGAGCATTGGTTAAGTGATCACAAGTGTTGAATGTATTATTTGGTAACAGTTTTAAGTGTCCTGATTAAGCTAGACCTGGAAAAATGGCCTACAGGTTGCAGCTAGTTAGGATAAACCAGTTTTTCCAGCAATGTCTTTTCATTATCACTCCCTCACCCCCCAGATTCTTCATGTTTTTTCCCCTTAATTCTCTGCACCCCCCCACCCCATCACATTTTAATACCACAGACATATACTATATTATCTGTTTATGTACTGCAGGACCTTGTAATAGCTAAGATTTTTTTTTTTTTTGCACATACCCCAAAACCAATTTTGCCTCCATGACAAATGTATGGTATAAACAAATAAATGTTTCAAAAAAAAAAAAACTGGTTCTGTCAAATTAAGTGACTTAGCGTCCCATTTTTGTTTTATAATTTAACTTTTTTTCCCCCTCACACATAAAAAGGCTAATTTTTACTGGTGTTTGTTTTCTTTTTTTTAAATCTCATGGGTTTTTTCAAAAGCCCCCGATAGCTATGCTGGGCCAAGTGCTAGGGCCTAGTTAATTCACAGTGCAGAGAAGCCAGAGTGAACAGCCTAGTGACTTAGTTCCCCCATGGCCAAGAGTCTGCAGTGCAGGGCCACCGTCACCTGTTGATAGCACTCAGCCAGCAAAGGCAGGACACTGGAGAGGAGCTGGCACCGTGACACCCTCTGCATGCAAACTAT